GGTATAAATGTAAAAAAATTGAAGTTTATGTCGGTGATATGTATGTAAATGCCCTGATATTTTATTATATTGCATTGTATTGATTTATGAGTGATGAATGAGGCAATATAGGAAGGTTGTTGGGGTGATTGATGGAAATTTGGATATTTTTTCCTGCAGAGGTAGAGATGGTGTGCCATATGAGGTGATGAGCCAAGCTATGATTTTCTTCACAAACTCTCTCATAGAAGAAATGTCTAGAAGCTATTTTTAAGCCAAAAAAAAATCAAATTTCATTGTTTGCACCACCTTAGACACATCAAATCTCAACTATTGATTTTGTTTAGTGAAATATTTGATTTTTTTAATCATTTTAAGAATAATAATTTTAGATAAATCCAAGATAACTAATTAAAAAGTAGTAAAATTCAGTCCTTTCTGCAAATCATATCTTTTTGTTGTTATCTTCTCCATTTGAATTTTTATGAAAGTAATTGATTGCTTGTCTAATTTTATATTTGAGACTATGCTTATTGCTCATCAATTATGCAATAAAAAAGTGCATAATATATAAAAAAAATTGCATACATAATTTTTAAATATAGACAGTTTTAGTTAAACCAAAGAAAAATCAAAATAATCAAACAAAATTGTTGTACTTCCAGATTTTTGAACTTTCATAAACAATCAGTTTCACAAATTCGTCCTTCAAAATATGCAATTTGACACAAAAGCACGGTCCTAGAAAAAAAAAATACTCACAACCTACAAATTGGGAAAATTTGCGTACATAAGACGCACGTAGAGCGGCGTACGTCTGTAACCTGCAAATAAATTACAAGGAGGATTTTGAGAGATTATAACTGCGTTATACCCCCTTTAACCTCCTTGTAACCTACATAATTATGCAATAAAAAAGTGCATAATATATAAAAAAATTGCATACATAATTTTTAAATATAGATAGTCTTAGTTAAACCAAAGAAAAATCAAAACAATCAATACCAAATTGTTGTACTTCCAGATTTTTTTTGAACTTTCATAAACAATCAGTTTCACAAATTCGTCCTTCAAAATATGCAATTTGACACAAAAGCACGGCCCTACTAGAAAAAAAAAAATACTCTCAACCTACAATTTTTGTGGTGCTCTCATGGGGAAAAATTTGCGTATATAAGACGTACGCAGAGCTGTGTACGTCTGTAACCTGCAAACATGTTACAGAGAAGATATCTACATGTACCTTCTAATAAATTTCGCACTTCTGTTCTCATATACAAATAAATTACATGGGGTATAACGCGGTTATAACCCCCCAAAATCCTCCCTGTAACATGTTTGCAGGTTACAAACGTACGCAGCTCTATGTACGTCTTATGTACACAAATTTGTTCCGCTCTTACGGGATGGATAATATGTAATGATAAGAAACTCTTCATAATATAAAATATAGCCGGGGATTATTAATAATTAGAGAGATGACACCAATGCTCGGGATAATATAGTGTTTAACCACTCCTTCCTCAAACAAGCAACTGATGAACTTGGTAGATTCAAAGCAGAGCGACATCGCTATTCTATAATATTCTTCTACTCAGGAGATGGAGAGAAAGAGAGAGTTGACTATTGGGACAAAAGTTTGACTTCAAATCTTTATAAATTATGATCCAACATCAAATCAATTTTTTATTACACACAGACGATAAATCAAATCTATTTTTTTTTTTCAAGTATATAAGAAATATAAAAAGGGGAGGATTTACATACATACCACATTACTTTTATATTATTACACATCTAATACCCAACCGCCATTGCTGTATTTCTAAAAGTGAAATACATATTTTCATAAATAGGTTTATAGCACGAAGGTGCTATAAGTGTAAATATCAAACATTGGATGTTAGGTACGTAAATACATAAGAATTGTGTGGAATATATGTAAATTTCCAAAAAAAATTATCAGCTGATTTTGCTGGTAAAAACTACAAAAAATTATAAAAGTTTCTAAATGAATTCCTCTTAAATAAAGTTTATACTAAGCAAAATTCCTTTAAAAAAAAAAAACATTGAAAGGATAACACCTTTTTTTCTCAAAGAGGTCATGAAGAACAAAATATGTGCAAATGCAAGTAAAATGACATCTAAGAACACCTTCTAGGGCTTTTACTCCCTACTTAGAGGTAAGAAAATCAATAGCTCGCAAGTGCAAGAAAAATATGTATCATACAATTCTTATGTATTTATGTATCTGGCACAAAAAATTTAATTTTTATATTTCTAACACTGTAATCCCTCATACCACAGCAAAAATATCACTATTGTTAAGTTAAAAAAAAGAGAGCTTATTGCGTGCGGTGTCCGATCTGGACCACTGAAATACATCTTTTTTGTTTTTTTTTTGTTAGAGTGTGTCCGCTCTAAAATTTTTTACGGTTCTGCTCGAACACCGCACGTAAAATTTGTGTGTTGTGTCCGCACGCAATAATTTTTCTAAAAATAGGCAAAAATACAACTTTTGAAGCACGGTAAAGTCGCATAAATGTGAATAATCATAATTTATGAGTTATATACGTAAAAAAATATGAATTATCTAACGGCATCAATATTAGACGTATTGAAATCCAACATAACCCTAATTTGGATCCAGCAGCAAACAGTTCGCATACAAACATAATCTAACTCAACTTGAGTAGAATTGCGCAAAATATATTTTAAAAAATAAAGAGCTTGGGGTTCAGATTTGAAATATACCAAAAGAGTATGTTAGATCTATTCAATTGCGATGATTTTTTAGAAGCTTAAGTTTGAATTCTATGAGTCAACGGGCATGAAAACTTCAAATTTAAAAAATAACCCTCATTTAAAATGCTCATATTCACCGGTGATTAATTCAACAAAAGCATAAATTTCTTTGACTGAATCTGTTCGTCGTTTTCACAGTTTTCTATCCCAATGAGGACCAAGTGAGTTTTTATTTCTCAAGAGATGCTTACAAATTGAGAAAAACTATACTCTTTCGTATATATCTATAGTTAAATAATTGTTTTTTATTCACATCAGGCGCTACTTTTTCATCTATTTACTTATCTACCATCCAATTTCATTTATTTATATGCATGCCACCCTAATTTTTAAATAACATAAGAAATGTTATTCTAATGCCCTCCTTAATTGACAGGTTTGGATCATAAACCAGACCGAAGAGAGATATTTAGTCTGATATTTTTTATAATTTAGCCGGAAGAAGAATAAAAAAAATCAGCAAAATAGATTCATAGAACATATATAGGTCCGTAGGTTTGATTTATATTTCATACATATCTAGATATTCATATATATAAAGATTTATCAAATGCCATTTGGCTGAGCTTCGATGATTCATCATTCAATGCAAAGAAATCAGTCATGACAGCATGGAAATGCTGAATAGTATAGTGGGCTGACAAATTCAATCTAGATCAAGTATTTTTTTGGATTTTCTCGCGTATTTTGCTTGGTATTAATCCCCACAACAGCTATAAAAATACAAATTTATTGTGTTAATAAGAAAGTCCAGACCCTATTCTTCCTTATATCTTTTATTTCTCTTTGATTAGGGTTGTAAACGAGCCGAGCTTGAGCGAGCTCAGGCTTAACTCGTGTTCGGCTAGTTTGAAATTGCTCGTGTTCGAAATTGGCTCGTGAACAGTGTGTTCGTGCTCGACTCGATTTAAATATTCTTGTTCGGATTCGCCTCGTGTTCGGCTCATTAAAAATTAATTAAAAAAAATAAATGTAGAATGTTGGATTTGAACCTGAACTAAATCAATGCAAAAGAAGGCACATAACCACATTACCACACGAGCTATCATGATTTATATGATTTTATATAAATGTAGAATGTTGGATTTGAACCTGAACTAAATCAATGCAAAAGAAGGCACATAACCACATTACCACACGAGCTATTATGATTTAAACTTAGATATAAATACATAATATATTATTATATAAATAATTATATGATTTTTTTTTTTTCGAACTAAAACGAGCCAAACATAAGAGAAGAAAGAATTGTTTGTGTTTGCCTTGTTTACAATTCAAGCTAAGAAAAATTGTTCGTGCTACTTAATCAGCCGAACACGAGCTGTTCGCAAACAACGAGTTTTCTTAATAGCCCTAACTCTGATAGTATAATAGATCAGGGTTGATGGAAAGAAAAGGGTTGATGGAAAGAAAATGAATGAATCAACATACTATAAAAAACGTTCACTGGAATGATTGGGTTAAAGCTTTCCCTAGTATTTTTTTCAACAATGGACTCTAGATTTATACACGGGAGTTCGATTGATTCGACAAATTCTAACCTCGACATTTATCTCTTACAAATTTGAATTTTTAAGAACTCCATAAACATGATAGACAGAAGTACTATTACTATTATATATTAAAAATTTCTTGTGATCCTTCTGTTCAAATAAAAATTAAGGTGAAGCAAGGTGAAAAACAGCAAATTTCTTTATGATGAACATATCATTTTTACAAGCTCATTATTACAAATAGTTCTACAAAGATCAAACTGATGACGTCCAAAAGTTATATATAAACCAAGAGATTACTTTTACCAAAAATTTATTCTGATCATTTTGTTAAAATAACACATAAGGTGAAGCAAAATTAAGAGCAAGGAATTATTTATGATAAAAATATCATTTTATAGAGAGAGAGAGAGAGAGAGAGGGCATGTTTGGCGTTTGTGATAAGCATTTGATTCTCTGGTCTACTTTAGTTTAGTTTTAAATAGTGCCGGCCATGGCCGGCTAAGGTTTGAAAGAGGCTAGGATATATATATATATACACATACTAAGGAGTAATAAAATGATGTTCTGGCCGCAGCACTATTGTAATTGACGAAAGGAAGATTGGGAAGTCGCCCAATGACGAAATAAGTATCAGCTAAATTAGAAGTTTGGAAGACGGCAGCAGCGAAGCTCTGCTCTGCAAATCATTACCTATGGGCTCCAATATGAGTCTGTGCTGCGGGTCTAAGAAAAAAGATAAAGGGTGAGATTTTCAATTTAATTTTTAATTTAATTTAATTTTTTTCCATTACTTCAATGTTTCTGTTTAGCCAATAGATTTTGTATTTATTTATTATTATTATTATTTTTGGTAGATTTGTGAGTGGAGGGGAACAGAGCTCCACATGGAGGTTGTTTACGTACAAGGAGCTTCATGCGGCCACTAATGGATTCAGCGAGGAGTACAAGCTGGGAGAGGGAGGTTTTGGAACTGTATACTGGGGGAAGACCAATGATGGTCTTCAGGTAATTTTAAGAATTACAGTTTAAATATGGAAGATTTACATACATACCACTCAATTCCTATGTATTTTCACATCTAACACCTGAGCTTTAATTTTTTTTCATATTTGCTACATTACCTAGCTTTAATTTTTATGTGATGTGAATGATTTGGGTAGAATAAATGTAAAAAAAGTAAAGTTTAGGGATTAGATGTGTAAATACTAAGAAATTAGTGGTGTGTATGTTCAGTTTTTTCGCGATTGAGCTTATTTCTGAATTAAGTTGTTCAGCTTGTTTGAAAAAAAATAACATAAAGCTGAACTTGCTATGATCGACTTGGTATATGTATTGATCTTTGAATTACATGCAAGAGAGTTGTGTTTTACGAATTTATTATTTTTTTATAATAATTTATTCATTTATTAATAATTGAGAAAAAAAAAAATAAATTGATTGGATGACGGAATCGAATCAGAAGCATAATTTTATTTATGTTTTGATTTAGGGTCATTTACGTAAATAGCAAGCAATTCCAATATACTTACATATCTAACTACTAAAGTTTTACTTCTTACATTTATACCACTCAAATCTTTCATATCACATCAAAAATACACATTTTTATGCAAAATTAAGGCGACAAGCACGCATGTAAAAGTTGAAATTTAGATGTTAGATATGTAAATACATAGGAATTGAGTGGCATGTATGTAAATCTTCCTTTTATTTAATCAAAATCAGTAAATATAATTCAAATATTATTAATAACTAGAAAAAAAAAGAGGTCATTTCATCAGTAAACATAATTCAGCCAATTGAATTTTTACGAAATAGCTTAAGATTCAGTCAGGTTAACAATTAATAAATTCATTCCACCCGCTAAATTTAGTGAAAATACAATTTTAAATTACATTCTCCTGCATCTATCTGATTTACAACTTTCTTCAGCTGTTATTTTAATATTACTAAGGAGCACTTACATAATTACCACCCAATTCCTATCTATTTACATTTATACCATCAGAATACCACCATTTTTAACTTTAAAAAGTGAAGCAAACATTCAGAATTTCACATGCATGGATAAGTTGGAATGAATGTAAAAATTGAAGTTTAGGTGTAGACCTGTAAATACATGAGACTTGAGTGGTATTTATGTAAACCTTCATACAATTAATGTGATAAATTTTTTTTTTTAAACCCAGATTGCTGTGAAAAAATTGAAAACAATAAATTCGAAAGCTGAAATGGAGTTCGCGGTGGAGGTCGAGATACTGGGAAGAGTGCGGCATAAGAACCTATTGGGGCTTCGAGGATATTGTGCGGGAGCTAATCAAAGGCTTATTGTGTACGATTACATGCCCAATCTAAGCTTATTGTCTCATCTTCATGGACAATTTGCAAGCGAGATGAAGCTGAACTGGAAGAAAAGGATGAATGTTATCATGGGATCTGCTGAAGGCCTTGTGTAAGTCATCATATAATCATTTCTCTTTTTTATTTTAATTTAGGAAGATTTACATATATAACACTCAATTTTTATGTTTTTACATATCTAACACCTAATCTTTCATATTTACTTGTGTGTCACGTTGGCTATATATAAAAAGGTGTGGTATTTCACTCTTTAAAAGTTTAAAAAGTGGTGTTTTTGTTGTGATATTGGGTGGTATAACTGTAAAAAATTAAAATTTAGTTGTTAAAAAGATAAATACATGAGAATTGGGTGGTGTGTGTGTGTAAATGTCTCAATTTAGTATGGGCAATTTTTCAGCTTGAGGGGATTATGATTGTAGGGTAATAGTCAAGTGGGAATTGGAATGAAGATCATAAGACTAATGATGATGGAGATAATAATAATTAAAATTCCTTCTTTACACCTCAGCTAAGAGATAAAAAGGAAAAAAAAGGTTATTTTATATTAGTGTGGTTTATTCTCTGTTGAACTTATTACCTTGCTTTGAATTTGCAAGGAGATTCTTTTCATTATGTGAAAATATAAAAAAGGTTGCAACGGTCGAAATTGTTATTTAAATTTACATGCAAAGGAAAAATTCATATGGCACCAATTATCATCAAACGATCACAGAAATATGCTAAAATCAGTTCTCCATACCTAGATTTGTAATTTGGGATAAAGCTATAGGTAGTATGAGGTTAAAAAATCAAATCTCTGAACTCCTCTCTCTCTCTAGCTCTCTTTCTTTACTTCCCATTTCTTCCTCCTCAAGGATCCTGTCAAAACTCTTGGATTGTACATGTAAGATTCAAATATCGTTATGCACAGATTTTGATTTAACACATTTGTCATGTGTAGTTAATGTGGATTGATACTAAGTATTAGAAACAAGACAATATCAGAAGTAGGGGACACGAAAATAGAAATATTCCTGAACACAAAAAGTCAAGAACTTGTGATTAATAGAGAACTTGCAAGGATGAAATAGAGAGTTATAAAGATGATCCAAAGAACTTTAGAGTGAGCTCCTTGAGAAATCCTAAGAGTAGAGACACTATAATGCTTCTTAGACTCAATTATATGAAGCCAAACCTCAAGCACTAGAGTGCTCACTTCCACACTCATTATAAACCAAACTTACTACCCAGCATGACACATATTCAACTCCCCAGACCTTGAGAGTTTAAAGGCATAGACCCCAACCGACAAAGGCCTTTTGTAAAGAAATTATAAACCAAACTTGTCTAACGCGAACCTGATTCGTCTAACTCGTTTATTATTTGGATCCTTTCTTTAATTCATTATGAACCAATCAATCAAATATGACTCATCTAACCCTAATCAACCTGAGAAATAATTGGGGCGATTTCAAAATCTATATTAATTTATTCGAGTCAACCCTCACAATGTCTCATGAATAATCAATCATATCTTTTTTTGTGAAACCCAAATTTTGAGAATCAGGTTTGGATCACATTACACATTAACTCATTCTTTGACATCACTAGTCCAGAAGCTCCTTGAAACCAACTTCAAATTATAGCCCTTATAACAGATCTGCAACATAAGTATAAAAGGATAGTGTCAAATGGAATATATGTATAGCTCTACATGCGCCAGTTGATTCGACAATCATCTTGCCGATAATAGATTTTCTAATGCCTTCTTGAGCTATCAATAGACGAAGATGAATCCTATCAACTAAGAGGAAATAACTTATTATAATTTTAGAAGAGCAGTTCTGTCGCAAGGTGATATGATTTGGCCTAAAGAATTTAAGTGCAGTCACATATGATCAAATGATGAACCAGGTTTTAAATTAATTTCAATTAAAGTCGATTTTAATCAAAATCGTATTAAAATCGAACTGAATTCTCTAAAATCTCGAAACTATTATGAAATTAATGCTGATGTTAATATGCTTTTGCTGACAGTTACCTGCACCATGACGTGACGCCACACATCATCCACCGCGACATCAAAGCCAGCAACGTCCTCATCGACTCTAATTTCGAACCACTGGTCGCCGATTTTGGCTTCGCGAAGCTGATCCCTGAAGGCGTAAGCCATATGACCACACGGGTCAAAGGAACCCTAGGTTATCTCGCCCCTGAATATGCAATGTGGGGCAAAGTCTCTGAAAGCTGCGACGTCTACAGCTTCGGCATCCTCCTCCTCGAAATCGTCACCGGCCGTAAGCCCATCGAACGTCTTCCCGGCGGCGTCAAACGCACGATCACGGAATGGGTTGATCCATTCATCGCCACAGATCAACTCTCCAATCTCGTCGACAGCCGTCTCCAAGGACAATACGACGATCTCCAGCTCCGTCGAATCCTCCACGCGGCGGCCAGATGTGTTCAGTCGGAGCCCGATCGCCGGCCCACCATGCGGAAGGTCCTCGATATCTTGCAGGGGAATGCCGCCGCCGCCGATCCGGTCAAGAACAGCAAGCTCGGGGATGATTCGAGCGAACACGATGTGTCTAGTCAGGCGACGAGTGGTGAGGCTAATCCAAGTATGATCAGAATCAAGAGCGTGAAGTATCAGGAGGAGCTGATGGCCATGGATGATGAAGAAGGAGCGGAAGGCGATGAGGATCTCGAATTGACGAGAAGTGGGAGCGATCGGGCGAGCGTGTACGGTGTGTTTGGGGCGATTGAGGTGCAGAGAGTTAGCCATGGATATGGGCAGCAGATTGTTAGCAGAAGAGCTGCGTTGCGCGGGTGAGGGCTTCGTTTTGGGAGGGAAGGCATGTTTTGAATTTTGAGGAGGGCACCTCATTTTATACATGAAGAAAATTCTCCTTTTTTTTCTTTTTTTTTTTTTTTTTTTAATTGTGATTGAAAAGAAGATGATAATTGTAAGGCCTCAAATCATATTTAGGCAATATGTTATTGGTCAGTGTGATTTTATAAAAAATTATATTGTGATATTCTCATTCAAAATATGAAAGATATGGAATTTGTCTAAGGACAGATTTTTATCTATTTTGCGTTCCAGACCATTGTCATAGTTATGTTTGAGAACTGTTGTCTTGTTGCTCTCTCTATCTCTCTCTTTCTCACACACAGACTCTCTCTCAACATATCTACACATGAAAAATTAAGCCAAAAGAATTTCATTTTTTATGCGATATAAATAATATCGATTGGTATAAATGTAAAAAGTAAAATTTATTTATTAGATATGTAAATAAAAAGGAATTTGATGGTATGAACATAAACACCACTAAAAATATTAATCATAACTTATGAGTTTTAAGATAAATCTTAATTAATAACTCATGTATTGCACTAATCTTAAAGTAAATACAATAACTTGAAAGTCGAAGTTAACTAAATTTTCACGTTATATTTATTTTCAGAAGTAAAGCAAATTTTGAATAAATATTTATCTAGTATTAGCTAATCTAAAAGCAAATACAACACCTTTGAGAACTATCATAACCAACTTTTTATTATATTAAATTTTTAAACTCGTCGTATTTATTTTAAGAGTCTGTTCACAGCAACTGTAGTTGTTTAAAAAAAAAACTATCATTCAAAAAGCAATAGTGGCCATTAAACCTATTTTTTTAAAGTTGGACTGAGGTTTTTTGGCTGTCGCCGCACAACTATATCAAGTTGCAAAACATGGCCTCCACGAAAAAACTATCATTCAAAAAGCAATAGTGGCCATTATACTTTTTTTAAAAAAAGTTGGACTGCGATTTTTTGGCCTGTCGCCGCACAACTATATCAAGTTGCAAAACATTGCCTCCACGCCTTTGTCCCAAACACAAAATACAATACAAATTTTCATTACATTTTAATGTGTTACATATAAGATTATTCTATTAAATGCTTTCATGCAATTCACAATTTGTTGAACCATTTGTTTCCTAGTAAATTCAGACTGCTAATGTCCAAATAAATAAATTAAAATTTCTAAATGGGCAGAATGAGCCTAAAAATGACTCAAAATGAGATGACAAATCATCTCACCTCAAATCCAATTATCATAATGAATGTAATGAGTAAAATTAGAGCATCATACGTATCGGCTTAAATTTGTCGAGATGAATACAGTACACTCATTTTTAAAGAAGATTGTTTTTTTGGGGGGGGGGGGGGGGAGCATTTATTTGGTCATGAATGAAGGATGTCTATGTTGACGCCCAAGGATTGGTCAGGCCTCGCCATTTCCTTATTTTTGTAATGTTATATCATAAATTTCCAAATGTTTAACATATTTGTTGGATTCCTTATTATTGTGGAAGTTTTGCTCACAGAAGACGGAATATCCTTGGACTATTCAGTTACATATGAAGAAAATTTTTCGCTTAAATTACTTGGTCTCATATCTTGCAGAGATGTATGCGGTGTCTGATCTACACCGTAGAACACGAAGATCTACGGTGAGGATGCAATCAAAATTTTTAAAAAAAAATAATAATAATAAAAGTTAAAATGGAGCCCACCGAAATATATTATTACCGTAGATCACCGTGATCTACGGTATAGATCGGACACCGCATGCAGAGATACGTATGCAATAATTTTTCTAGGCAACCAAAATTTGTCCGTCTTCTCAATCTATTTTTGTTTCTAGTATTATTCCTGTTTATTTTGTCTGTTCTTTTGCACGGTGATAGTGTTAATACACATAAATACTACTCACCCAACAATCAAAATTAAACTACGAAATCATTCTTACAAAAGGAGTATTAACACTATCACCGTGCAAAAGAATACAAAAATCAACAAGAATAATACTAGAAACAGAAATAGAGGGTCCATAGGTTTTATTTCCTATGAGTTGTATTTATGTATAGTTCGAACCTCCTGTATTTTTTTATTGATATTAATAAAAGTCCCTTGTTGAATTTGTTTTTTGTATTTTACATAAAAGGATGATCAAATTATTAAAAGGTGCGGGTCTGTTGTTCAAAACGATGGTGATATAGATGGGGATGTTGATAGTAGAATTGAAGTTGGTTGGTTGAAGTGGATGAATGCTTCGGGCCTTTTGTGTGATAGAAAAGCATCGTTTAGACTGAAAGGAAAATTTTATAAGACGATGGTGAAGCCTGCAATGCTTTATGGTGTTGAATGTTGGCCTTTAAAAGAGAAGCATAATACTAAGTTAAGTGTTGTCGAGATCAGAATGATTAGGTGGATGAGTGGCTTTACACTTAGAGACAAAATGCAAAATGAATATATCCGTGATAGGGTTGTAGCTCCTGTGACGGACAAAATTAGAGAAAGTCGTCTTAGACGGTTTGGTCACATTAAGCATCGACCATATGATGATCCGATTAGGAGACTAGATGTTCTAGATTTAACTTATGTTAGGAAAGGCATGGGTAGAACTAGAAAGACTTGGGCTTATTGTATAAAAAATGATCTTAAATTATTAGAACCAAATGAAAATAAGACACTAAACGGGATGCAATGGAGAAAAAGGATTCATGTAGCCGACCCCGCGTAGTGGGATTAAGGCTTTGTTGTTGTTGTTGTTGTTGTACATAAAATTTTAAAACAGTAATCAACCTAACATAAACTTAATTCCTTCATATCTTCTTTGAATGTTAATTCTTTAACTTGAATCCAGCATAACTCAATTTAGAGGACTATCTATATAAAGTACATAATAGGATAATTCCTCTTGATACACAAAGCACGTATGAGTAAACTAGAAACATTCTTCAAGCAAAAAAGAATATTTAAAAAATATATTCTTGAGCATTAATATACAAACAAAATACATTGTAGGGCAATTAAAAGTTAACTTACCAAATCCGGGCTCCTCAATTAGCCAACCGACTATTAGCTCCAAAGTCCAAAAACTCTAAAAATGGCTCAAAAGAGAACAAACCCCATCTCACCAATAATCTCCACAAGAACAATTTCCATTTCTAAAATGATGGAATCGAGAAACATCTCTTACAATAATCTCCCTGTTTGAGATTCTGGCAATGAACTTCATCGTAATATGACAGTCATCACATATTCTCAAGTTTTTCATTATCCTTATGGGTTTTTCAACACTTGCAGAGATGAGTCCAAAAGCAACTGCCAATTTCTCACTATGATATGATTTCCTCCCATCCTCTCTAAAGCTGAGAACATCAGACACATAACCTGCTTTTTCAATGCTTGTAACCATTTCCTCTAATACCAAAAGAATCTCATTCATTCTTGGATGTGAATTGTCATCCGCAACAAAGTTATGCACCACATTATCCACCTCAAGCCAACTATATCCAGGATCTTTCTTCACTCCAATCCTCCTCATCTTTTTTCTCACATTAGCAGCCTCCTCTGGCTCACCACACTCAGCATACAAGTGATACAGTAAAACATGAGCCGATGCGTTGGATGGCTCTAGATCAAAAATTTTCAAGGCAGCAACTTGTCCCAATTCCAAATTTTTGTGAACTCTACAAGCTCCGAGCAATGAACCCCAAACAGCAGCATCTGGTTTTTGCATACGGTTTATAATTTCCCTCGCTTCTTCCAGACATCCAGCACGGCCTAGTAGGTCCACAAGTAATGTATGATGAGTATTATCCGGCACGACGCCATATATTTTCATGCTATCAAAGTAATAACGGCCATCTTCCACAAGACCAGAATGACTGCAAGCCATAAGCAAACCAACAAATGTAAATGAGTCGGGTTGGATTCCGCATGCCGTCATTTCCTTGAAAAGACTGATTGCTTCTCTTCCATATCCATTTTGTGCATACCCGATGATTATAGAACTATAAGTAACGTTGTTCCCTTCTTCCATCGTGTCAAATACCAGACGAGCATCCTCCACGTTCCCACACTTAGCATAGACATCCAGTAAAGCAGTTCCAACAAACACATTTTCAAAAACCGGTGTTTTGGTGACAAAGGCGTGAACTTGCATCCCACAAGACAAATTTGCCAAAGCTGCAACTGAGCTAAGTATAATCGCAAAAGTAATGTGGTCCGGTTGTATCTCCATCTCCAATAATAACTCCTTGAACATTATCAAGCAATCCTCCGCCAGAGAATTATGGGACAAACCAGTCAAAATTGCATTGTAAGAGACAATGTTTTTTTCCTGCATCTCATAAAAGACATGAACAGCATAGTCAAGCCTTTGACATTTGCAATACATATCAACCAAAGATGTGCAAGCAAAGATGTCACCTTGCAATCCAAAACGGTGGATTTGGCAATGCAAAAGCTTCCCATTATATAGTGATGAAGATCGCGCACAGACCTGGAGGGCACTGGAAATTGAGAATTGTGTTGGGCGATGACCTTCCTGGATCATCCTTGAACACAATGCCAGAGTTTCTGATCCGTTTCCCTCTTGAGCATACCCTTTAATTATTGAATTCCATGAAATGTCGGTTTTTCTTGGAGAGTCCTCAAAGAACTTGCGAGCTAGGTTGGTATTTTCAGCTTTGATGGCTCCAGTGATCATTATGTTCCATGTGAAGATATCTCTATTGGGCATTTCGTCAAACAGCTTGTGGGCGTCAGAAGGTAGGCTGGCTTTTAAGTAAGCCTGAAGAAGGCGGTTGGAGAGGAAGGTACGGAAGAGGAGCCCTGACTTAAGAATCAGGGTATGAAGGGCTTTAGATTCTGGAAGAGAATTAGAGTGAATGAACTCTTGAAGAAGGTGAGCCAGGAAAGATAGGCTTGGGGAAGCCATGGAGAGAGCTTGAAGATAAAGTCGTTGGCATCAGGCTTCTGCTTTTTTGGATTTCTATAATAAAGAGCGCATTAGTGTGAGTGCAGGATCTGAATTCCGAACAATAAATTTCATATATATATATATATATATATATATATGAGATATGACAGTCAGTAGCGATTTATAGTGCTTAAGCGATGTCTTTGGCAAACAACTAGATTAGAAAAAAACTAAAGGGAAAACAATTAGAGGAGAAAGCATCCACTAGACGAATTTCTTTCTTTTTACTAATGGGGGCCTATTCGTACACCTGACAGTTATGGGTTGGGGTCATGATGCAAAACTGCATGATACTTTTTTTTTTTTTTTTGCGTTGGGGTTTAGATAGGATTTATTATTATTATTATTATTTTATAAGCCTCAATTTGCACATTACGAACTCGTATGCGAAATTATAGTAAATTGAGTGTCATTTTGGGGTAAAATTGATATTTCGGATTCGTTCGCGCAGTCCATTTTGTCATCCGGTGTCATATGAATAAATTTTTTTATGGATGAGTCAGTTCGCACGTGTAGCGGGGAACGAGACATGTTGTTCCTATCGAAGTTTTGGGGTAAAATTGATATTTCGGATTCGTTCGCGTAGTCCATTTTGTCATCCGGTGTCATATGGATAATTTTTTTTATGGATGAGTCAGTTCGCACGTGTGGCGAGGAACGAGACATGTTGTTCCTATCGAAACAATCCAACAGACATAAATGTCGATCGGCGTTTGCTTGAGTTACGCTCAAAGTCTAGCAGAACGATTTCGACAACGTCCCCTCAACACGCGTTGAAGGGTCTAAAATGTATGTCTCGCACTACGTGAATTAATGTGTGCATCAATCAATGTTCTATAACGCTTGAGCGACCATCCTACACTCTCAAAAGTAAAAATTGATGGCAACAAATGACCCCCCAATAAGTGTGTTGTGCTGTTAAGGCACAGTGCATTTGTTGAAAGCATTTCAATTTTATCAAGCCCAGACTATTCGTGAGACCGACGTGATCCAAGCGACCAAAAAAGAGCCAACTGACCTAGAAAGAAAATTTCTGAGACTCATATCCAATCTTATGATGGGAGGTTAAGAAGGAATGTGCACGGGACTTATATACAATCTCAAAAGGCGGGTTCAGAGTCCATAGAGGCATGACCCGAAAGGGGTGGTCCAACGGTCGTAGAGGCATGACCACGCTGGGTAGGTTCAGAGTTCGTGGAGGTGTGACCTAGAAATGAGTTTATGTATTATTATTATTATTATTATTATTATTATTATTATTATTATTATTATTATTATTATTATTAGCATGCGAAATCATAGCAAAATGAGTGTCATTCAAGAGTAAAATCGACGTTTCGGATATGCTCGTGCGGTCCCTTTCTTCATCCGAGGTCACCTAGACAAATTTGCCGATATGTGAGCCAGTTTAACGCGCGGTGAACAAGACTTGTTGGCCAGATTAAAGCCGTCCAACAGACAAAAAATGCCTACCTGTTTTTGTCTGAGCGATGAACAAGGTCTAGCAAAATGATCTGGACAGAGTGTCACTCAACGTGCACTGAATGGTCTAAATGGATATCTTGCACTATGTGAATCAATGTATGCATCATGCAATATTTCATAGCGCTCGAGCGACCATCTTACACTAACGAAATCCAAAAATTGATGCCAACAAATGACTCCCAACAATTGTGATGTGTTGTTAATACACTGTGCACTTGTTAGAAGCAACTCAATTTTTTATCAAGCCAAGATTAGTCGTGAGATCGATGTGATCTGAGCGACCAAAAAAGAGCCAACTGCCTTAGAAAGGAAAGCTCTGTGAGTTATATCCAATCATAGAGAGGGGGGAGTTGAGAACGATGCGCATGAGACATATATCCAATCTCAAAATGTGGGTTCACAAGCCATAAAGGCATGACACGAAGGAGGTCGTCCAAAGGTCGTGGAGGAATAAACCACGCCGGGTAAGTTATGAGGTCGTAGGGGCGTGGCCTAGAGATGGGTTTAGATATGAGTTATTATTACTATTAATATTGTTGTTATTATTTTTATTATTATTCATAAGCCTTGATTTGTGCATTACTGGCGCGTACGCGAAATCATAGCAAAATTGGTGTCTTTCCTTGGTAAAATTGACGTTTTGGATGCACTCGTGCAATATATTCTATCATCTAGGGTCATCTGAACAAATTTGTCGATGGATGAGTCAGTTTCACGTGCAGAGCGGTGAACGAGACCCGTCGGCCCGATCGAAGCTATCCAATAAACAAAATAGCTGACCGACCTTCACTTGAGCGACAATCGAAGTATAGTGGACCGATATCGGCAGCTTATTCCTCAACACACACCAAAGGGTTTGAAATGGATGTCTCGCCTTATACGAATCTATGTGTGCATCAAGTAAAGTCCAAAGTGCGACTTTAAAAATTGATGCTAGCAAGTGAGTCGTTAAGACACACTGCACTTGTTGGAAGTAGCTCATTTTTTTATCAAGCCCATACTAGTCATGAGACTAACATGATTTGAGAAACCAAAAAAGATCCAATTTTCCTATAAAGGAAGCTCCAATAGTCATATCCAATCTGGGGGGCTAGAGAAGGAATGCTCACGAGACTTATATTCAATCTCAAAAGATGAGTTCAGATCATGGAGGTATGACCCGAAGGAGGTGGCCTGAGGCTATAGAACCATGATTGCGTTGGGTAGGTTCGGAGGCAGCAGAGAAGTGGCCTACATATTGGTTTAGGCGTTGTAAAAATGTGACCCAACATGGTGGTTCAAGGGTCGTAAATGTGTAACCACACAAAATAAATTCAGAAGTCATGGAGGCATGACCTAAAAATGGGATCATAGGCCGGAGAGGTGTGACCCGACATTGCGGTCCAGGGACCGTAAAAGGCATAACCACAAATGGTAGGTTCAGAGGCCATAGAGACGTGACCTAAAATTGGTTTTAGGGGTCTTATAAGCATGACTCGGGAGTTGGATGAAGTGTGAAGCTTTAAATAACTACAATATCGAGAAAAAATGTCAAGGGACTTATATTCTACTTCAAGGGGTATGCAAGGTGACCACGATCACGCAATTGTCAGCCACACACCTAGTGGTGTAAAATATTATAAAGTTTGAGTTAAGATTTTTCCACAAGTCAGCACTACACCCTAAGTTTTTGTTTGCGCAAGTACACTTATTATTCAAGTAATATATGGCTATAATAGAGTCCCGTTTATTAATTCCACAGGGAAAAAAATGTTAACCAAGCAAGCCTTAGAAAAAGTTCTAGCCTGTTGTAATTAGACTTAGCCCAGAATTAAGTTTGGTTTAAGGTGAACTAATGATGTCACTAAACTACTAATAAATTTCTAAGTTAACTATTTAATTAAGTAAACTGAGGTATGTTTAAATTAAACACTAAGTTAAAGTAAAGTGGATGTTCCAGATAACAAAAGTTTCCCTTCCTTTATAATGAAAATAGTAGCTACTGTAGGTTCAATCAAACTAGAATCCCTATTTAGAAATCTGTGACAAATAGGAACATCTACAATCCTTACCCTCTTCTAAGTGTATAAAGATATTTGGTTAACCTAGGGTTAAGTCCTCAAAACATTGGTTATGATAGGTATGCTCTAGCCTGTCACCCTAGATTACCCACTAGTGCCTTGTATTTGGCTAACCTAGCCTTAAGTTCTTAAACCCTGTATCAAATTGATTAAAATTTTAGCCCGTCACCCTAAATCATCAATTTACACCCAATCAAATCCTATCTCCCTATCTATTTGCGCTGACCACATGAATGCTTTTCCTTCATCCCAAAGATTAGTGTAGTAATTACTAATTGAGGAAAAACATAATTCTCCTGGGTCATTATGTTTTCACATTGCGTTTTAACATATGAATTGCCCAAATTGCATAAGTAAATGATGCTTGAAGTAATTTACCATAAAAATGAAAAAAGTAACATGATTCTACTTTGAAATAGACCCTACATATGTTGTTAATCCATTAAAAAAGAAAGGAAGCAAGTAAACTACTCAGATTTCATGGAGAAAACTACAATACTCAACATGTTATTTTTAAGCACAACAAGTATCTTCTAAGTAATAATTTAATACAGAACAATAAAGTACAAGAACTCTATCCTTTCCTAAGAAATGAAGAAAAGATCCCTCAAACAGTGTTCTTATAATTTCACATCAATTCCTTACACCTCTCACACAATTCTAAGTAAAAACATGAAAAACAAAAGAAAATCTCTCACTTCTTCCCTCAATTTCCTGCACTCTAACACTTGGATGAACTCCTTGAAAGCCTCCTCTCATGTCTGCAATGCATCTCCTAAAAAAAATCCATCTCTTCATGCTTAAAGCCACGGGATAACTACTCTTGACACTCCTGGCGCCTAGGCGCCCAACTGTGGCGTGACCCGACCTGCAATTACACAGATATTTAAGTTTTAAAAGTTGGTAAGAAACTTGACCCAATATATATTTAACGACCAATGTGCAAAATAATATGTTATAGAATTTAAAATTTTGATTAATGACTTACACACTAGAGGTATTACGCAAGTGTACATATTGTTTCAAGTAATATAGAACTTTTTCTTAAAACCCAGTATTGATCCCACAAGGAAGAACATATTTTCTATAACAACTTAAAAAAACTTTTACTTGAACTGCATACACAATTTTGTGGGAGAATAATGTCAAAATGTTTGTAACAGGTTAAAACTAAATATTAGTTAATTCTACTTTTAAGCAAAAAGTAAATGCAAATTTTCAAAACTAATTGTGTTTAAAGGAGTTCGAATAATATAAAAAGATCTTTCCTCTTGAAAATATATCATAATCAGTGTAAGAATCAAATGTTTAAGGATTTAAATGTTGTATTGTGACAAAAAGGAACAAACATATTATTTACCCTCTCTCGAGTGCATAAAGAACATTGACTAATTTAAAGTTTATTTCTTAAATCCTTGGTTATGCTGGATTGATTCTAGCCTCTCACCATTAGATTAACCACTTTGCCTTCTCTATAGGACTAACATCTAGTCTTAAGTACTAAACTCTAGAC